TTTTTTTTTAACACTGATTTCTTTATTTTTTCACTTCCAGGGAGACTGCCTGTCAGCACAGACAGTCCCCCTGCAGGCAGATACACAGGCACCTATTGCGGCCACGTGATCGGGTGATCACGTGGCCGTGGGGTCCTGATCTGCCGAGGGAAGACTGCCCGAGCAGACAGGCAGTCCCCCTGGACCGGGAGGAGTGCTGATCGCCACCGGGGGACCGACGGCGATCAGGTAAGTAGCCCCAGACCGTTATGACAGTTCAGGACCGTCATCGGTCGTCAAGGGGTTAAAGGGACCCTATAGTCACCAGAACAACTACATCTTAATGTAGTTGTTCTGGTGAGTATAATGGCTCCCTTCAGGCCTTTTCATGTAAACCCTGCCTTTTCAGAGAAAAGGCAGGGTTTACATTGCCCTAGGGACACCTCCAAATGGTCACTCCTTAGATGGCCACTGGAGGGGTTTCCTGGCTCAGGGCTGCATAGTAAGCAGCCCTGCCGTTCAGCATCCCCACGCTCAGCATGGAGACGCTGAATTTTCCTCAGAGATGCATTGATTCAATGCATGTCTATGAGAAAGCATTGGATAGGCTAAAAATCGGACATTTTTATGATGTCACCAAAAGGGACGGGGCCAGCGCCGGCAGACCAGTGGAGAGCTGGAAATAAGGCAAGTTTTAACACATTCCTAAATGGTGGGTTTTCACTATGGGGTCAGGAATACATGTTTGTGTTACAGACCCTATAGTGATCCTTTACATTTGACATTCACCTTTAATTCTAACCCTGATACTTTCCATTTCGGTCTTGAACACCCCCAAGCACAGTACCGGCCCACACGTATGGGCTTCCAGTGTTTGGTTTTCAATTTTGATGTAATTTACTGAGGACTGGGAATTTTGGGCTTGCATATCTTACCTGGCATGTTTCTCTATAAATCTGGATGCATGGCTCTATTAAATATACACCATACGTATATGCAAAAATCACTCAATCTCAATATGGCATTTATTTCTGGCAACTAAAAAATCCTCGGTGAAAATTAAAATACTCAAAATTACAAACATGTGGGAACAGATGTCCCACAGACTATATATATATCACACTTCAATCACCTTTCACAAGATCCGTACCATTTGAAATGCAGCAACAGCAACTTTTTTCAGTTTATTAAATTTAAAGGTACACTACACACCAAAACAACTTTAGCTTAATAAAGCTGTTTTGGTCTCTAGATTATACTCTGCAGACTTACTGCTCAATTATCTGCCATTTAGGAATTAGATCACGGTTTATGCAGCTCTAGTCACGCCTCCCTATCCTTTTCCTGTAAAGAGATCTATTGTTTAAACTACATTTTTTGCACAATCTGCTTAATGTAGAGTTTAATATGTCCTGCTCTGTTAATAAAAACAAAATAGTCAAACAAAAATACATTTCTTATCCTGCACCATTTGATTTTGCTCTATATAGTGAAAGCCAGTGCTTACAAACATAACAGTGTTCTTTTACCTGAGTGGTCAGCTTGCCAAAATTCAAACAAAGAAATAAAGAAAAGTACAGCATCACAGGACATGTTCCATCACTGCTTGCTTTATAAAATTAATTATTTTATCCAGAATTGTTAAACAAGTACAGAAGATTGCAACTTATATAGGCTCCCAACATGTTAAATATTCAAGTTATGAATCCTTCTTGCTTACTTGCACTTCCTCAAAGTGGTCTTAAGAAAATGATAGTTAATCATGAAACATGTAACATGAAGTTTTAGCTCACTGGGAGCCTGTACATGCTGCAATTTGTATTGTTTTTTGATTTTAACAATTTTCTACGATTAAAATTATTTAACGCAAGCAGTGATAGGAACAAAAGTATGGTACCACAGGACATTCTCTCTGCTCTGTAAATAGCCTGCAAGAGAGTCCTGTGTATGATTAACATTCCATTAACAGGGCAGGAGATAAAAACTTCTAAGGTAGACACACTATGCTGTCACATCTGAATAATAATGAAAACATTTTTCCCATGTTGGCAGTATGAGTCAGTCAAGGAATGTAGAAACACACCATCATTACCATACCCTTTAGGAGTTAAATCACTTTTGTTTCTGTATAAACAGAAAAAAAAAAATGATTTAGCACCAAAATGGTAGAGAACCGAGCAATTAAGACTGCAGATCTACATACACCAATACAACTCCATATAGGTGAAGTGGCTTTGGTCTTTATAATGACTCTTAAGATAAATCAAATCATGCTTTGCTTCAATGCCTCACAACATAACCGTTTCAGGGTCTCAAATTCCCTCCTTTCAACAGAGATTCTATTGACACACTACTGATCAAAATAGATCAGAATAGATAAGTTGTGTACTAGCAATGTGAACATGAAGGGGACAGGCCACAGGTATCTTAGGGAACACCTGTTGTGGTCAAACCATTCAAAAACTATTTGATCAAGAACTTGGCGATGATCATCACAGTCTAAAAGCATACTATAGCCACTATAACAAGGGGCTTGACATATCCCAAGTGAGAGGTCGCCATGGGAAATTTTGTCCTGTGAGTTGGACAGCCCGTTCATCCGACTAGGGGAGCAGTACTCTTCCTGCAGTTCTTGCAGTGATACTGCATGCACTGTTTAGTGATGTGGCATCACTAAACAGCACACAAAGGAGCAGAACAAGAAGAGGTTAAAGGTTACAACATCCCCACTGGACCCTAGGGAAAGTATTCAATTCAGCTCTCCCAAAAGGCTGGGTGAACTTAAATTAAAAGGACCACTATAGGCACCCAGACCACTTCAGCTTAATGAAGTGGTCTGGGTGCCAGGTCCAGATAGGATTAACCCCCCCTTTTTTTAATTTTTTATAAACATAGCAGTTTCAGAGAAACTGCTATGTTTACACTGAGGGTTAATCCAGCCTCTAAAGCCTCTAGTGGCTGTCTCATTGACAGCCGCTAGAGGCGCTTGCATGCTTCTCACTGTGAAAATCATTATGAATGTTTTCCTATGAGACTGGCTGAATGCGTGCGCGGACGTCGCTAGGAAGAAGGAGAGGAAGAGGAAAGCTCCCCGCCTGGCGCTGGAGAAAGTTAAGATTTTAACCCCTTCCTCTCCCCAGAGCCCAGCGGGAGGGGGACCCTGAGGGCGCAGGCACCCTCAGGGCACTATAGTGCCAGGAAAACAAGTATGTTTTCCTGGCACTATAGTGGTCCTTTAAGAAAAAAATAATAAAATTGTGAGTGTATGAGAAAATGTGTGTCTGCCAGCGTCAAGTCAATGAACATGTAGACACTGAATGCAGGTGCTGCACTTAACTAGGAAGCACCTCTAGTGGCCATCAGAGTGACTGTCACTAGAGGTATTCCTAAGCAGCAATGTAAACACTGCATTTTCTATGAAAAGGTAGTGCTTATAATGAAAAGCCTACAGGGACAGGATTTAGACACCAGAAATACTACATTAAGCTGTAGTGGTTCTAGCGCTTTATGAATTGCATTTTTGTTTAAAATGAAACTTTATTAGTCATTTCCCTGGGTGGCTGGCTGCTCCTTATATCTGAACTGGTCTCTACTACACTGACGCAGATCTCGAGGTGTGGTGTTGGATGAAAGCTCATCATTCTCTGGCTAGAGTGTCCCAGAACTAATATGCCTTGATGGGTCTTCTAGTCACTTCATATTATCTGCATGGTTTATCTTTTACAACTATTTTCCATATGTGCCATATGCAGGTCAGCTTAATCGTAGGTAGATGGTTTTCACTCTACTTCGGACATGTTCCCATAAGAGTCTGGCTATATTGTGTTCATCTGTTTTTGCTTTTATTGTTTTAGTTTCTTGTATCTTTGTGACCTGGCTATCAC